AAAAAAAAAAAAAGTGTGCGTAAGAATCAAGACGAGAAACCACTAGTCAAGGGAACAAGGAAGGTCCCAACCCCACCTCCCACATCACTCATTGCGACACCACCCTCATGCAGATTCACGAATAATAGAAATAGTGCACGAAATAGTGGGATAACAAGTGGGTCAGACGCTCTCACATTGCACACTCTTATCCCTACTTGTCAAGGTCAAAATAGAAAAAAAAACAGCTGTTAAATTTTTCGGTGATAAAATAGTAATAGGTGAAAAGTCTGTTTTTGCTCGTAGATGGCATCAGTGTATGTATGAAACCAGTTCAAGATGTGAACACTAGTACATACCACCCATGCCACCCATACCGCCCATTCCTCCCATACCACCCATACCACCGGCTGCTGGGCTTTCCTCCTTCGGGAGATCCACAACGGCGGCTTCGGCGGTCATCATCAGGCCAGCGACAGAGGCGGCGTCGGTGATCGCCACACGGACAACACGCGCGGGGTCAATGATGCCGGCGTCGAACATGTTCACATAGCAGTCGCGCTGTGCGTCGTAGCCCACGGCGGCGTCACCGTTCTCCAGGATCTTCTCCACAACCACGGCACCCTCCTTGCCCGCGTTCGACACAATCTTATGTGCAGGGAGACGGACGGCATTGCGGATGATCTGCACACCGGTGCGCTGGTCCGCCGTGAGTGACGCGTCAGCGAGAAGGGCGTCAAGTGCGTTGCTCGCACGCAGCAGCGCAGCTCCGCCACCGGGGACAATGCCTTCCTGCACCGCAGCACGGGTCGAGCAGAGGGCGTCTGTGATGCGGTCCTTCTTCTCGTTCACCTCCACCTCCGATCCACCGCCCACTCTGATCACCGCAACACCGCCACTCAGCTTGGCCAGACGCTCCTGCAACTTCTCGCGGTTATAGTCGCTGGTCTCGTTCTCAATCAGTCCACGCAATAGCTCCACGCGCTCCTTCACAACGTTTGCCTCACCGCCACCATTCAGCAGCACTGTGTCATCCTTCGTCACCGTCGCCTTCTTCACGCTGCCAAGAATGGTGGCATCGAAGTTCTCCGCATCAAGCTCCACGCCACTGCCCTCCTCACCAACAAGCCGTGCACCAGTGAAGATAGCAATGTCCTGCAACATGGCTGCCTTATTGTCGCCAAAACCAGGTGCCTTCACGCACATAATCTTAAGCTTTCCCTGTAACTTGTTGAAGATCATCGTCGTCAGCGCCTCGCTTTCCACGTCATCGGCGATAATAAGCAGCGGGCGACCACTGCGCACCACGTGGTTCAGTGTCGGAAGAATCGTGTGGATGTTGCTGATCTTCTTCGCTGACACCAACACAAAGGCCTCCTCCAGCTCCGCCTTCTGTGTCTTCGCGTCCGTCACGAAGTATGGGCTGAGATAGCCACGGTCAATGCTCATGCCTTCCACCACCTCCAGCTCCGTCGTCATTGTCTTGCCGTCCTGCGTCGTGATCACGCCATCCTTGCCGACCTTCTCCATGGCCTGTCCAATCAGCTTGCCCAGCTCGTTGTCACCGTTGGCCGAGATCGTGGCAACCTGCACAATGTTTTCTGTGCTCGTCACCTTGCGGCTCTGCTCTGCAATGCTCTTCAGGATCACTTCCACCGCACGGTCCATACCACGCTTCATGTCAATCGGGTTCGTGCCAGTGGCGATGCACTTGAGGCCCTCACTGAAGATGCTCGACACAAGTACAGCAGAGGTCGTCGTACCGTCACCAGCAAGATCGTTGGTCTTGTTACACACCTGTCGAACGAGCTGTGCACCCATGTTCTCAAACGGGTCCTTGAACTCAATTGCCTTCGCAACCGTCACACCATCCTTTGTGATCTTTGGTGCACCGTACGACTGCTCAATGATCACATTGCGGCCCTTGGGGCCGAGGGTCGTGGCAACGGCGTCAACAGCACGTTGCACACCGCGCTGCATCGCCTGGCGGGCCTCCGTGCCGAAACGGATGTCCTTGCCAGCGAAACGGGAAACAGAGCGAAACATTTTATGTGGTTTAGGTGTAGTTAGGTGATCTTGTTCTTTTAAGTTATATTTTAATAAAATGAAGAATGAGAACAGTGGAAATATTTTGTGTTTTTTAATCACGAGAAACCAAATTTAGTGAGTCTTGGATGTTAACAACTTTTTGTGTGTGTGTGTGTGTGTTTTTACTTGTTTCGATTTAAGAGTAACATTTTATTTTTTTTCATTGTTTCGCTAATGGAGTAATTTAATTCCTGCTTTCTTTTGTGTTGTTTTAGATGTAATTACGATAGTCTAACATATTTTCCGAATGGTAAATTTAGTTGGCAGTTTGGTGGTTACCCAAGACTGTTACTTGGGTAGGAAGGATATTGAAAATACAGAAATACTTGGAATATGTAGAAGTAATCAGTTTGAACAACACAGAATAACATTTTTTTTTTTTTATCATACACAGATGGTGTTTGACTTCATTTTGTAATAAGTTCTCTTTAAAACCTTTACAGTATTTTTTATTAATTTGATTATTGGTTTTTATTATTATTAAGCCCGTTTCATACAGTAAAAGACTAGCTGTTATTTTTGGAAAAAGAAACAGAATAATAAAAAGGACTTTTCACATTTAGTGAAATGGGTTATGGGTACTTCTATAAAGGTTTACAGTTCTTTACGTTAACGGAACACCATGGTCCCCACCCTGTCTTTTTTTTTTTTCTTTTACATTCGCGAAACTTTTTTTGAAGTTTTTTTTTTTTTTTAAACTTTGTTATTCTTCTCGCCTTCGTTTTTTTCAACAGAAATGTCTTTTTTGTTCAAACGTTTTCTTTTGTTGTTCATCACCTTAGCTCTTGCCAAAGGTGGAATATATAGTTGCACCAGTGCCAAAGACAACACTTACCACACCTATTAAAAGTGATAAATAAGTCATTATATAATGGAACCAACCAACTTTTACCAATGTCCACCCACCAGAGTACATAAAAAATAATGCTGGATATATAAAACCAATAAACCCACCACAAACAGCACCTGCGAGTCCTAATGCTGTGCTAATTCTTGGAATAAAGATACCGCACACCAAAACGATAACAGAGATTATAGTTACAGTAATAATGTGTTTCCAGTATGGTAGACGATCAATATCCCATCCAATTATGTAATATACTGTATTACGGCAAGGAATCATGTTTAATGCGTATGATACACATAATTTAATAATAAGTCCAATATATCCTACCATCATCATTGGCTCTTCAATGGGATCAAACATGTAAAGTATAGATTCTTCAATATCATTTCCAAACTCCATGTAGCCAAAGACGCCAGCCAAAAGATATAATAAGGAACAAAATGTCATTCCCATGGTAGTGGCGAGTACGAGTTGTTTCACACTTGGAACTTTCATTTCAAAATATACCTGATACGCCACAGCATGACAAAGATAAGAAAAAACGTAAACACCAAGACCCTCTAACGCTACATTCCCCTTTTCCACAAAAACAACTTCTGAACGTCGGGGAAGTCCTTTTTGGCATGAATGTATCACAACTGTAATGGCAAAATATACTACAAAACTTACCCCAATTGCAGAAAAGTATCGTAGTGTATTAACTTTTTTAGGGATTACCAATGGAAGCATTCCAATAAGCCATACACCACATGTAGAAAGTCGAATTCCACTTTCAGTCTTTAAAAATTGTGGTGTAACCGGAGATCGCTTTAACACTGGTGTAATTAAACTTTCTGTAGCAATAACATACGCTACAGCTGCACCAAAACAACTTACTCCCATAACGAGAGCCATTAAATAATCAGCACCGCGTCCCAAAACTCCTCTTGACATTTGTTCAAATGCCCTGTATCCTGTTTTTTTCATTACATATCCCATTATTGTAATAGTATATACTGTAAATAACGTCATAAGAGTAAGATAAATAACTCCCATTATTATACCAGTAGCACGAAAAGCCCACGGTAATGTAATAATACCAGCCCCTAAAGAAGCGGAAGCAAGGTTAAAACTATTAGAAAGAAGACCACCATGAGGTATAACTGTGTGTAGAATAAGAAGAAAAACTCCAAAGATACCTTTGTGTCGTTTATTTAGTTGATGATTATCACAATGATGATGATGATGTTGTCCAACCTCTTCCAATTCTTGTTGTTCTTCTTGTGAATTACAGATTATGGGACTAAATGCATTTTTTTCCATCGTACTCGAAGTATTAGTATTTCCTGGTGTAGTAACAACACCTATAATTTCATCATCCGCGAACTCTATATTTTTCTCAGGTGGTTTCTGTCCCATATTCCCTTTCTTCTCTATATTGTGTTCCCTCATTTATCACCTTTCTTTCCCCCACCTCTTTTTGCAACTTTAGGTGAAAGTGACGAACACCCCCTACCCGTTCGTCTCTATGGGTATACATAAAGTCAGCATCAACCAGAAAAAAAAAAGAAAAGAAAAAAAAAGAAAAAAGAAAGAAAAAATAATAATTACGTGAATTTTCATATGAATATATGCTTCTATTTTTCTTTTAGGTGAAAACAAGAACAACAACAAAAGTGATATGTTTCCTCTCTTTTTTTTTTTTCCATGTGGTCATTTTCTTGTATATGAAAATGTCTTTAATTTTTGTTGTTCTACGAAGTGCAACTGAAAAAAAAAAAAACAATTCTTTGACTAACACAATATTATATAATCGTGGTAATCATCTAGTTTATACATGTACATATTTGGCACTAGAGCATGATAAAAAGAAACCTACAAATAAGCACAGGTATATAATAATAGAAAAACAAATGAATGTCAACTCATACATCACTCATCATCATAGGTTTCGTGAGAACTTGAAGGCTCATATGTATACCGGCTTAAGCGTGCCACGTACTCTTCATTAACTTCTCGATCTGCCTCCCATTTTTCAACAGAATAAACAGATTTTGTCCCCTGTAAACGTTTAAGCATTTTCATATTTTCTTCAGCAATGCGTTGACGTTCCCTTTCTCGGCGACGTTCGGCATCACGAGCTCCATTAGTACTGCGCCATGGTTCTTTGTTATCAATTCCACCACCCCTTTCCATAATAATGGCCATATTCGCAACCAATCGTCTGTTCTCTCCTTCTATTCGCTTGCGCCGTTCTTCTTCCATTAACGCTCTTTTATTACTCAGGCTCTGTGAGCATGGTGGTTTGTTATCAATACATGCCTTCTGCTCTGCTACACGCTTACGGTGCTGCTGATATTCTCTCTCACGCTGCTGCTCCAGCCACAATGTACTGGCCGTCTGCTTTGGACGAACAGGCATCCGTTTATATGCAAACTCTTTTTTTGTTGTTGTTGTTTTTCCCTTGCTTGCTTACTTTTGCTTTGCCTTGAAGTGTTACGTTAGTCTCTGTGATCCTGCTACTGTAGATTCACTTCGAGGACTAATGAAAACGGATAAATAAAAAAAAAATAAAAATAAAAGAATAAATGAAAAATAAGAGTAGAATTGTAAAAAGAAAAGAAAAAATAAAATGAAAAAATGGGCACTTCTCAGATATTATTTCACATTTCATTACACAAGTGAAAATGATTCTACACTACGTATATAATTTACACATCATCAAATTTATATTCAAACATCAGTAACCAGTCGTCTTCCTTGTAAAGACGATGTCAGGGAGCTACCGCTACTGAAAGGCAGAACAAAAATAATAATAAAAAAGGAAAAGTATTGAAAAGAGGATAGCGACAAATACAATGCTACTGCAAAAATAACTCCACGAGAAGGGAGAAAGAGAGGGATGATATATCTAAAGAAAAAAAAAAAAGACTCACGTGCCGAAATAAGCAAACTACAAATTCAAATCGCCTAGAGCCTGGGCTTCACTAACATGTTTCCACTATATATATATATATATATATATATATATATATATATATATTAAAAAAAAAAAGAAACAACCGTGAAAAAGTCTTTCAAATTGGACATAATTTATTTTTTTTTTTGGAAATAATTCATATAGAAGGAGAAAGATCAATAATAAAAAACAAAAACATGGGTAAAATTACTCCCTTTCCTCGCATATCCATTTTTTTTTCCTTTTTTGGCGGTAATAGGATCTGCACTATACATATATTTTCAAATCATCATAGTTGCGCCTGATAGCACTCTATTAGATTTTGCCGATCACTTGGTGAGAGAAGTGTGTACCCCTGTAGAAGAACTGTTAACGGCACTAACACAAATCCCGTTGGGTCCGGTCTGTTCTTATCTACAGGTTGAAGAGATCTATCCTTGACGACATAAAAGTTTGGTTGACACACCATCTGCACAAAAAGTCGAACTTGTTGTATTAAAGCTTCAGAAGCTTCTGTGGTTTTTTGTGCATCTGAGAGATCTTTTTTAACTTTTTGTAGTTCTGCTTGAGTATGCATTAACTCAGATTCCAATGTACGTATCTTGTTTAAAAATTGACTCTCATTCCTCTTATTTTCTTCACGCAGTTTCTTTTCTGATTCTTCTAACGTTGTCTTTGACGCACTAAGGGTTTCAAATTGCTGCCTAAGCGCTTTATTTTCTTCACGTAGATTATTAATTTCAATTTGCATCGCATCCTGCGATTCTTTCTGAATCTTTTGTTGCTTTATTGTTTGAAAAGCATTATCACGTTCTAAAATTACTTTTTGGAGTAACTTCATAAAATGTGAATTCTGTTCTTGCACAAATGTACGTTCCATTCGTATTAAGTCGAGTAGACCATCGCCTAAAAGAACTCGACGGTCAACTTCCTCTTCCAACTTTAATCGTGCTACAGATAATTTGCGTCGCACCTTCATCTCCTCCCGTGTTTTTTGCCGCAGTTTCTCCAGTGTTCGCTCCAGTTCTGCGTTTACTTGTAATAATTTCTTTCGATCTGCACTATCTGCACTACTTGTGGTTGCTGAACTATTAGTTGTTGTTCCAGTTGCAGGGGTAATAGCCTCCGCATCACGGTTTCTCTGTCGTTTATTATCATCCATGTTCACTACCCGTTCTTCACCCGTACGCGAACCCTCAATGAGGGCGTTGAAGGGAATACTGTTGGCCCGTCCATGGGGAGATCCAAATGTAATCACAGAGTGCTGTAAAATAGCCTGCGGGTGTCCTCTCTTATTTACTTGCATTACACCTCCTCGCACAGCACATGTGAGGGGGGGCATGAAAGATAAAGTGGAGTTGTTCATGATCCTACAACTGGTACTTCTACAGATTCTAATCTTTGAATGATAAAAGGAAGAAGAAGAAGAAACAAAAAAAAAAAAGAAACGAATAAAGAAAAACATACAAAAAATAAAATAATAATAATAATAATAATAATAATAATAATAATAATAATAATAATAATATTTTTTTTTATTAAAAGAAAAAAGAAATATAAAAGGAAGGGTGTGAGGGGATAACATAGAAAGAGTATACAATTATTGTCCATCTCTTAAAATAGTCGCTTTTAACCGTATTTTTTTTTTTTCTTTTGTTTTGGTTTCCTGGTTTATATTAAAACGTCAACAGTCAATATAAATTAACCAGGGGATAAATAAATAAAAAAAGAAAAACAGATATTTCTCTACACAGTGTTAATATAGTCTCTGGAGTTTTCTTTTTTCCTCTCTTCATGCAGTGGCAAAAAGAAGAGATAATTCCTTTATCTCAGCTTGTGTAAAAAAAGGGGTAACGACAGGTCCATACCGTGATATCAATGGGGAAACTTTTTGTAGTATAGCTTCCACATCTGATCCGATTTTCCCAGCAGCAATACCAACATTTTTACTATCCTCATTATTAACAACACCCTCGTCGGTCGTATTGTCTCCATCTTTTCCGTTGTTACTGTTATTATTATTATTATTATTATTATTATTATTATTATTATTATTCTCAAACCCATCATCATCATCATCATCATTATCTTCCTCATCATCATCATCTGCCCAGTCAAGATCATCTTCACTCTCTTCTTCTTCATTCATATCACATTGGCTCATGAGATTTAGTACACCTTTACCACAAGCAATAAACAACGCAACATCTAATGGTAACATTTCCTTCTTGTTTTTTCCCTTACTCCATGAAAGCATCTCTCCAGAGAGTCGCTCATCAGGAGGCCATTGCCCTAGTAAATCTAACAAAGCATCACATGAACGAATAAGGTCCGTTTTCCCAAAGAATACACTCATCTTTGGAAGCCATACAGAGAACATACTGTTAAGAAGTCCAGAAGATAAGAGAACATTAATAAATGCATGCATATGTTGTTTTAATAATACTGCAAGTGGTGAAATTAATTCTTGCGCTACAGTATCTGTTTTAACAGTCATAAGACGAGTTACGATTGCTTTAACAATAGATGATATTTCATTATCACGAAAACCATTTGTGTTCTCTACAATAGCAACCAATAATTTTCCGCTATTCATCAATGTAACTTCATTCTTATCCTTCTGTAACATACTGATAACTATTGTAACGAGGATAACAGATAAAGGATATATCTGAGATTCATTACCAGTCACTACAGTAGTGAATTCAGATGGTAATACACCAGAAAATAATTCATTTCTCCTTAAAGAAGAAATTATATTTATTATAGTAGGTGATACACAAACAGTCACGGATCCCATTTGTGGACATCTTTGAAGTAATGATGTTAAACAATTTGATGCGGAAACTACAATAGATGACTCTTCAGAAGTTAATAATAATTCACACAAAGACCCAATAAGAATATTTGCTGTCCTCATTGCAACATTATCAGAACCCTTTTTAAAAACACATGCTAATATTTGAAGGACAAAAGGTAAAGCACAATGTTCTTCCATGCTACAACATCCATTTAATATATTAGTTATCCAAGAAAGTTGAGTAAAAAAAGATTCATCTCCATTAGATTCAATTATTAATTCATTAAATAAGGATACAACTAATTCTCCTATATTTGGATCCTTAATATGTTTTATCCAACATTTAAATAACACAGAATGAGCTTCTATAGAAGATATACCTCTTGTTTGTAAATGACATTTAGTTATCCATTCCGTATAAACTTCTATACATATGTATAACATATCATCTACTGTGTTATCGTTCAGCATAAGAGAAAAAAGTGCATTTTCACCTTCTGTAAATAATGATAATGTATCATTTAAATGAATCAATGGCAAGAGATTATGAAGAAGTTTACATGCTGCAGCTTGAAGTAAAGGAACTTCACTTCTAAGAGAAACTACCGCTTTTGGAAGAAGTTGCGAACAGGATGATTCAATATTTACCCCTTCTCGCTTCTTTAAATTCAGTAAAACTGCTAACACGGAGAGTGCCCGAGTAGCCAAAACTGCAGGACCTCCTACATCCTCATTAAGTAATATTTGCAACAGTTGATTATGACAATTTACACCTGCACCCAACATTTCTTCTGGACATCGACGTAAAAGAATTTCTAATACGAACAAAATACTTTCTCTCGCTTTCCATAATTGACCCATAGAATTAAGAGAGTTTACAAGAAATTCCATTATTTTACTTCCAAAAATAGGTGTACATAATCTACAAACATTTGCAGCTGATGTACGAACATTCCATAATACTTCATCCTCATTTTCTTCTTCTTGTTGTAAGAAAGAATTTGTATCATTAAGCCATTCTTCCACATCTATATCACGAACAGTTGTATGAATTAAAATAAGATTTAAAAATCGATTAGGATCAGTACTAATAATAGTCTCTAAAATATGTTGTAGAGATTTAATACGTGCCACTTCTCCCAATAAATTCCATCGTCTTGTCATAACTTGTTGAATAATAATACTTTCATCATCATTATTTTCAAGAACTTCAAAGTAAATAGAATCATCCACTATAATAGAATTTATTATTCTTTCAAGAACATTCACATTAATTTCTTTCCTTATCCATTTAGCCGCATGAATCATATTCTCAAAAAATGATAAAACTTCCAAAATAACTTTATTATGAAATATATTTTCTTGTACTCCAGTTAAAGGTAAACAAGAAAGTTGTACAGTATTTAACAATAGGGGAAAAAATTTATTCCATGTTTCCTTTATAAAATCCAAAAGATTCTTTTTTCGAATAGTTAATACAGACAAGAATACATCTTTTACCACAGTAACAGCAACAAAACTTGCTTCTTCTTGATTTCCATTAATGAGAATATGAAGCAAAGATGGAGTAAGAAAAATTAAATTTTCATAAAGCAAAGTTGAGCTTGGAGAAACATGATTTTGTAGTTCAGATACCAAAAGAATTGAATTAAGTATATGAACAGTTGAGTTTGGTGTAGTAAAAGAATCAGAGATAAATTTAACGAATGTATTAAGATAGTCCAGGATATTAAAATTCGTTGAAAGATTTGACTCCAATCTTACAGCTATAATACTTAAGATTGCCGCAGAAATATTTACGACATGACGATCTAATTCCAAAGGTAAAACACTCATAAGAATATTCATTATATTCATAGACTCTTCCAATGTACATTTATGAACATTTTGTTTTAATATAGTTAACGCCATAAGACGTTGAGCTCCTGAAATACCTTCAGAATTTAACTGTGCGTAGCGGGTGAGAGAAATTAAAAAACCATGAGTTTCCACAAGTTCATTTATTTTCTGTTCTGCTACAGTTCTTACAGATTTATCACAACTCAAAGCATCCTGTAATATTTTGGTTAAGAACTCAATTTCATTTGTTGACATGCAAGTCACAATTATAAACAACTATATACTTTGGGTAACCACTAAGTAAGAACTAAAAACAAGAATAGAACAAGAAGAGCAAAAAAAATAAAAATAAGTATTGTTATAAAAAAAGAACAGTTCGAAAAAAAAAAAAAAACATAAAAAATAATAATTTATGTAGTTTCATCAAAAACAATACATATCATACACACATAAATATATATTAGCAGAAAACAAGAAGAAAAAAAAAAGAGAGACCTCTAAAGAAAAAAAAAAAGAAGGAAAACAATAAAAAAAAACTGAAAATTATCATCGACTTGTTTAATTCATTACAACAGTGATAAAATTTTGAAGATTATCCAACAAAAAAGGGAATGACCATTGAAATCCGTTAATATATTTTGGAAGGACATAGGGGTGAGGTGAAGAAAAAAACTGTTTAATACCCATGTTTTCTCCTTCAAGATGAAAAATTGCTCCCTTATTATCAAGGGAATCACAATAATTGGGTGCTGAAAAAACTGATACCATACATGGAAAGTTAGAAGCATTATTAAAACGATAAAGTTTATAACCCTCGTCTTGAACTTCATGACTTCGTATGATGCAAAGAAGTTTGTTAGCCATAAGAAAGTGCTTAACACATAGATAATTGAACAAATAACCATAACCTTTCTCTTCATTAAGTAGAAAAGCGGGTTTTGTTCCATATGGACCATTACCAGGAGTGTAATAATTACTTTTTGTACCCCCACTAATCGGTGATGGATTTTCTACATCCCAAAAGGGATCTGACCACAATAAATCACACATCGCACCTCGTAAAGGAGGTTCTCTAAAACGATGAATAGATTGAATATGATTTACACTACTAACATCTGGTGAAAGACCAGCATGTACACAAAAAAATTGTTTATTTACAATAGCAGCAAGAGGTAAACAATCAAAGGCTTCCATAATTGCCTGATAGACTTGATTATCATATTTTTGCAAACATTCTTCTTGAAAATCAAAAAAATGAGTCATAAAACGTGATTCATGATTTCCACGAAGTAAAAAAACGGAATTTGGAAAATTAAGTTTAGCAGCAAGTAAAAATAAAATACACTCACAACTAAAATAAGTTCGATCAGCGTAATTTCCAAGAAAAAGATATTTTTTTGAATTACTAAACATTCCCCCAATAGAAAGAATCTTCGCCAAATCATATAATTGTCCACGAATATCTCCTACAACCGTAATGGAAGTATCATCAATAGTTAATAAATTTGGTTCTGCACGTAAACAACCTGAAGCATTTTGTACAATACTTAAAGCAACATGTTTTCCCAGTCTTCCTTGGCGAAGAAAATGAAGAAGCATCATTTTAAGATTAATCTTACCTTTTCTATCGATCAAAATATCACGTTTTACTACATCCCAAAGGGGTGGAGGAACTCCCTTTTTTCCTCTATTTGCTTCAAGCGATGCAGAATTAGATAACATGCGAATACCACACTAATCCGTCTATCAAGAAAAAAACAAAATAAATAAATAAAATGATACCCAAACTTTCAAAAACAAAAACAGAAAATAAAAGAAAAAAAAGCAAAGCAAAGAAAAAAACATTATGATAGTAAAACGAAAAAAAAAAAAAGAAACAAATAGAAAGATTAACTTCACATAATAAATTATAAGCATCACACACACACACACACACACACACACACACCAAAAGAAAAAATAAAAATAAATAAATAAGACCCAGGTTATACAAATGTCAAAGACATCTTTTTTATGTATTCTACCACTTCAGAACTCACATCCAATTTTTCAGATAATTCCCGAAAAGTAATTGAAACACGACGATTTTTTATATTATTCAAACGAATTCCATGCATCCAGTTATAACGACTTTCATCAGAAAGTAGGAAAAAAGCTCCACGAGGTATGTAAAGGTCAACAGCTTTTTCCTCACTATTAATAAAAGTCATAATCGTATCTTCTAACATATTTAAACCAGCTATACGATTACCCCATACCCAAGTATCATCAACGTGAGGATCTATGCTGCTATTACTTTCACGTGTATACTCTAAAACCGAAGCTTCTACAATACAATATTCTTTCTTAGTTTGTTGTTCAACCAAAAAAGAAATTTTCTCCAAAATTTTTTTCAATTGTTTCGGCATTCCTGGTAGATCAGAAGGTTTAAGTTTTTGTTTTTTAAAATTAGCTTTTGGTCCAAAATCTTGCTTTCTTCTTCCACTCTGAGAAAGTTTCCAAGGTGGAAAAGGTGATGGGTTATCAAAAAAGTCAATTAATTCCTTTTCTTCTGAAACAGATACAGCCTCTGGAACTACAAATAACCCTTCAAGATTTATATCAGAAACAGGGACAAGTGTCTTATGATCTTCACAATTTTTCAAAACTTCATTAATCATTGGAAAAACAGTATTACAATGAGGACAAAGCGAAAAACGACTTGGTCCTACCACAGCAAAAGAGCAAGACGAAGTCCTCTCTACTCCATACTGTTTAGAAATGACATCAGCAGATTTAGTAAGCAGGGCATTTTCTTTAATAACCGCCTGGACCCTATCAGAATCTATACAATGCTTACAATACCGTATTCCAGAACAGCGACAAATCTCTTGTTCACCCATAAATACTAAAGTTTAAAAAGTCAAACTGCTTTTATTTTTTCTACTTTTGTTTTTAACTGGAGGAAAGGGAAAAAATGAACGCTTTTAGAGGATAAAAAATAAAATAAAAAAATAAAATACAGAAACGAAAAAAAAAAAAACGCCATAACCTTTTTTTTTTGAAAAAAAAAAAAAGAACCACCCAATCATCAGCATTGATGCGCACAATTTAAACTCACGTTAGACTAGCCTTTGTATATTAGTACAATCATATATTCTCTGATACTAAAGAAAGTGATAAGTATATTTTGCAGAAAAAAAATCTACTTAGATGAAATAATCTTCTCAACTTCAGTAATGGTATCATTGTATGATTTTACAGAATGTCCAATAACCCTCTTGTCGTTATATATTTCATAATCATTACCACCTTCATACGTTCGATCACCAAAAAAATGAATTTCATCAAAATCATTTTCAAGGAAGCGAAGACAATATGTTTTATCCCATCCTTCTGGGAAAACGTCAAAACTGATCTGACCACCAACAGAGTATTTTAAACCATAATCAGGAAAAGTCTTTTGGAGTTCCTGAATAAGTTTCTCACGAACATGGTGCTCTTTGTCGTATACTTCAAACTCATCTCGTTCAGATTGTGAACAATTTCGACCAATAGGAGAAATATTAATCATTCCGTTACGAAACTCAACAAAAGTACCTCTTTGCACAGGAATATCTAGGTCTGCAATAAGGTGAAGTGCTTTCTTTACAAACTCTTTAATCTTCTCATTTCCAAGGAAATTAAGAAGACTTTGACGATGTATTTCCGCTCCATTTTTAAAACCCAAAAGACCATTTTCACTGAATACATAATCATACTGCTGAAAAACATCATCTCCAAGTTGTTCAAATTGCTTGGAAAGATCAGAACCACCTACCGTAGCAACTGCAAATCCTGCTTCTCTCGCACGGCGAATTAACTGCTTAACATCATCTGTTACTGAACGCCTAGGTGCCGTAAGCGTCCCGTCCACATCAAACAATAACAAAACCTTTTTCATTTTTTATTTTTTTTATTTTCTCTTTAGCAAAAGGGCAAAAAAAAAACAAAAAAAAAATATATAAAAAACAGTACTAATACTACTAATAATAATAAGATTAATAATACAAACATTTATAAAAGTAATAATTATTATTATAATAATAAAAATAAAATTTACTATTATTATTATAATTAATAACAGATGCAACATTATAATGAATACAGTCATATGAAAAGAGGGAATAAAAAACAAAACAAAAAACAATTAATAAAAATTATATCACATACATAACTCACAAGTACAAAAAAAAACATCAATATCACCGTACCCCTGTCTCAAAAAAAAAAAAAAAAAAAAATGAGACCAAATGAATGGAACCACCGTGGGGGAAAACCATTAATCAGCGCCGGCGAACACCCACCAAAGAAAAAAGGTCGGCGAAGAGGAACCCCCGCGGTCACCCACTTTTCCTGCCCCCCGGCCGAAACGCCCCAAAACACACCCAGCAACCCAACGTCAGGAGGAAAGACCCCGGCACCCCTTCATTTTCATTCATTCTTTTGGCCTGCGGGCTGGGTCGGGCGGGGAAACGTCCCCGCTGCTGGGGTGCGCCGGTTTCCCCGCCAAAAAATTAGCCCCGCGTCCATTTTCTTCCCCAAACCCGAAAGGGAATGGCAGAGGCGCGGATGAAACCGGCCGGCCGGCAATCAGGAGCGGGCGGAAAGCAGCAGAAAACACGGGATCCTCCACGGTGGTCTTGTTTTGTTTCTTTTGGGGTGAGGGTAGGGTGCCCCATGGGTTTCCCGATCCCCTCTGGCCCGAGGGGGTCGCTTTCATCGAAACCCCTTTTTCACGGGGCAGCTCGAGGAAAGAATGATTGTACCTTTGCGCCGGTTTTATGAATGCCTTTTCTTCCGCACAGCCTGCCAAACGTAAGCCTCCGAAAAACCCCACCCTCACCACCCGGAGCGGGGGGAAGGCGGGTTAAAAGGGTTTCTCGGCGCTTCCATTTCTTCAGTTCTGGCGTTGATAAGAAAACAACTATGGAGGGAATAACATTGGGATACATTTTTGTTTTTTTTTTTCTTCATGGGGAAGGTATGGTTCTTACAGATTATTATTATATATTACTCTTTGATTCTTCTTTTTATTTGATTTATTAAGGAGTGGGGGTGAGGGGAAAAGCAAGGTTTAGATTATTCTTGTTTCTTTTAAACTAACTTTTCCTTTTTGACTTCCCTGATTCTTTCTCCCAAGTTCCTTCCCAAGAAAGAAAGGATGCGGCGCATAGTGCCAGTTATTTCTCTCACCCTCTGGGCGCCTAACGCGAAACGACACCACAGCGATAAAGAAGAAGGTGTAAACACAGAAACTCCTCTTCCGGATCCTCTTGCTAGAGAAAAAGAAGTAGATCCCTTTCGTGTAGGATACAACATGGGGATGCAAAGTGTTCACTTGGAAGCTATTAGAATGAAACTTAATGATCATTTGGAGCTTTTTAAATCTCATTTTCGTTCATTATCAGATATACTAAAGTCAAATCATGACCAGGTAAAACATCTTCAAGTGCAGAATAGTAATATAATTTCTCATGAAGTTAAGGAGTTGAATAATCATTTCCTAGTTCAACTTTCTGCTATAGAACAGCATGTGAATAATCTAGAAAAAACCTTGAAGGGTATTATTGATGATAGAGTTGCTGAACTTCAAAGACACATTGATGACTCCTTTGAAAATCTTAAGGATACTGTTAAACTAGGTTTTGCTGTTCTTTTATTTTTTAATTTATGGATGTTTTACACAATATCACAGAATCATCGTCAACAGATGAATGCTCGAACCTCACATACAGTTTCTGAACTTTCGTCGCGAATGCAAAAATGAATGCCGATATCAGTGTATAGGTCGAAATAAATCACTTTTTTATTATTATTATCTCTAGAGATATGATGAGTTATCTCTCTCTTCTCTTCTTTGCATCGTTTTTTTTTTTTTTTTTTTTTTTTTTTTTTTTTTTTTTGTTTTAATGTCTTTCCTGTTCCCGTACAGTGACTCTTTGCTACCTTTGCAAGCGCAAAAGTTTATATATGCTTCTAATATCTTTTCCTTAAGAATAGAAACTTCACGTTAGTTCTGATTTACTGTATATGTATGTGTGCATGTATGTGATCGTAAGTACGTGTTTTTGTGTGTGTGTGCGTATGTGTGTGTCTATGTATATAAGTATTTCGTACATTACTGTATACTTGAATGTTTTCTCTTCCCGTGTTTTATATTCTTTGTTTTTATTGTTTTTGTGCTTATTGAATTCCTAGATGGATGAGCATGGCAATAGCTTCATATACCCGGCAAAATGCTTTGGGGATACCAGAAATTCTTTGTATGTGCGTATTAGATAATAATAATGTTTTGGTAGCTTGTGTAGGAACAACTGACTTGTTTCAATTGACTGTGGACGATGATACTGTGATAATAACTCATATATATTCATTGGAACTTCAGGAAACGGCTCACAAGGTAAGATATATTTCGTCAATCAATAGTATATTTCTTTTGAGTGGAATAACGTTGTGTTCAGGTATCTTAGTGAAATCTTCAACTAGTTCTACTTGTAAAGTATGTCCACTAATAGGAGATGATGTCAAGGATTTTGACCTTGTCGTTATAATGGAAGGTGTTATTCTCTCTGCTTTAGTGGGATATGATATATCGATTTTTCTTTGTACAGGGGACGATGCATTTCCGTTAAAACGTTTTTACGTGGGAAATGTTTGTATGTGTAATTGGGTAACTCCAGACTGTTTGTGTTGCTCTGAGTTTGGTGAAATGCGTTTTTATGGTGTAGATGGTACACATATACGTTCTCTTGGATCTCCTGCTTCAAAGGCTATATATGCAACTCCTTTACATCATTACTTTGATAATGATGTTTTGATATCTGAAAAATCCAATAAACGGTACTTTATTGTTCTATTTGACGGAAATGAAGGTTATTTTTCACATCAACTTGTTGTATTCTCCCAAAAGGGAAATACTGTTACTGAGATAGAAAGGTTTCCTATTTTCGCTATATCACGTCCATCATGTATCTTTTCTATTGGTCCTTGGGTTTGTGTTGGGGGATCATTTGGATTGGAATTTTATGATTACAGAAAGGGAACGTATGCTCAATCTTCCCTAGAAAATGTATCGGTGACTCATTATTCCTTCTCTAATGTTTGCATAGATGCTACTATAGTTCCTAATGACACACTCTATTCAAGAGCACATTATGGGGTTGCTGTTAGCAAGAAATCTATTTATGCGTTGTGTTTTCAATCAATTATAGATGTTGTTGATGAATTAAGCTCTAATACGGCCTTTTATTCAGTATTGTTAAAAAGTCTGTTAGTATTTGGTTCTTCTGTTCGAGCAAAACGAACCATGTATTCTTCTAAAAGAATACATGATACCGTGTCAAGTTGTAATATACTTTTTTCAGAATATGGTTCAATTCTTTCTAGGTTTCATGTTCAATTAAGTGATTTTCCTCGTCGAAGATCAATTTGTTTTGCTTCTACCAAACAACCAGATACCTGTGCAATATGTGGGATAAAAAGTACTTTCACATCTATCCTTTGTGAATGTGTGATATGTCATTTAATTGTATGTCGGAAATGCTCTTTTGTTCGTAATATGAAATTATATGGTTATAGTTCTTGGGATAAAGGTATTGTATGTTGTCAATGTGATGGAAGATGTGATTTAAACTTGTATAGACTATTTGTAGCACGTCGTTTTACACAAATACTAAATTACATGGAACAATACCCAGAAAGATGTTACCAGTTTTCTTTAAAAAAAGTTGTTCCTCCTCTTTTAGAACAGTGTTTTGGAGAACGAAAGTTTGAACTTTGCGCTGAACTTCTTGAAAAATATGTAGCTAAAGGTACAGTATTCTGGGATCAGTGGATTGTTCGTTTTGTTTTAGAAAAGGAGGTACGTGCTCTAGTTCGTGTTCATAATCCAAATGATGCAGATGAAAATTGTAATACTACAATATTACTTCATCTTGTTAAATGTGATGTTAAGACTTTGTATTTACTAATACAAGAATGGTCTAATAAGGCGTATAATGATGAAATAATTCTTCATGGTATCATGTCACGTCTTTCTTTTAAAAAGGAAGAGGCTCGTGTGTTACAAGAATCTTGTCAAGAAGGTTCTTTAACTTTTTCAGAACTTCAAAATGCCATAGGACTTCTTTACTTTGATGAAGAAGTTGATACTCTTCTTAGAGTATATCTTTATATTTGTTTTCGAAAAAAGAGATACATGGATGGAGCGAAGTGTTATATGGAGTATTTTATGATGATGCTTCCTTTTTCAAAACATGAACGTACACGAACTTATGAGGTATTTGAGGGTTATATTTTGTTAGGACAGCCTATACGTAAATATCCGCCTTCAGGTCTTATAGATTTTTGGGACTTAATAACAAGTCATGGTATCCTTGAGAGTTTCATTCGTTTAAAAGACTCTACAGGAACTACAGTTTTTTTAACACCTTTACTTATTCATTATCGTGAAGAATTTGGTCGATATTTAGTGGATTCACTTCATTCTGATTTACTTGAAGATGTACTACAATCTGTCGTTTCTGATTTACAAGAGAGTCAACCTTCTCAGCTTTTACATGTATTAGACGCTTTGACTAATGTTTCTCCATTAGCAACGTCTTCCTATCATTCTCTTATGAGTGAATTATACTTGGAGTATGCCCCTGAAAAACTTTTAAGTTTTATTCAAAACCCTCTAGTAATAGGATTAAACTGGAAAAAACTTGCCAAATCAGTAGAAAATAGAAAGATGTATCGAGAACTTATTTACATAGTTGGTAAAACTGGTAATGATATGGAAGCTGTTCGTATGGCTATTCGTTGTATGAAGAGTGTTTCACTAGCTTTAGAGTATATTAAAGATAATCCGAATAAGATTCATCTTTGGAATTCACTCGTAGCAAATGTGATTCAATCTCCTATTCTTATTGGTGACTTTCTTGATGCTGTTGAGGATTTTACAATAGTTGAATTTCTTTTAAAGTCTATTCCAGAGCAAAACCGTCTTAGTATTGAGCGAGTTGGTCCTCGACTAAATAAAGCTCTTCGAAATAAGTGGTGTACTGAACGTATAGATGAGTCTTCTGTAGATTCTATGCTTGAAGATAACTATACTTTACTATGTCTTTTGAGGAAAAAAAGTTGTAAAGGAGTATCTTATGTTTCAAATACACTATGTAATTCATGTCATCAGATAATTTCTGGAGAGCGTATAGTGGATGACTATGGTATGTCCTTTCATATTACATGTGTCTCAGTATCATCAAATCAACGTTCTGCAAATAAAGAGAGAATTAATGGACGAAATTACAGACCAAAATATAAAAGAGAAGTTGATCATGAAATAAATTATGTGGAATATTATACAAGTAGATCTCTTGGAGTTTCAAATCTACTTCTTCTCTTACCAGATACTATCATGCATCATATTCTTCAGTTTCTCTCTATACATGAACGTGAGATTTGTAGGTGTGTTAGTCGTTTATTCCGAAAAATCATCAGTTCGTTTTATATTTTTAACAAAAGAGAAGATGATCATATTAGTAGTCGTTACTATACTCGTTTACAAGAAAATGAAAATAGAGGGTGTCGACAAACTATATATCTGGGTAAAGTACCCATACTTGGTTTCTCTGGAAGTACAATGCTGCCATCTTCTTCCTCCTCTTCCTGAGGTACCTATTTTTGCCGGAATGACTTTGTAAAAAAATTGACGAAAGAAGCAATACGTAAGCACAACTTTCTAAGAGAAATGTATACTCCTTCTGCAAGTCATTATGCTAACCTTGAACGTGTATCCCTTACTTTAGGTGATGGTGGTGGCGGTGGCTGTGGTAGTGGTATAGTAAATATTTGATAGTTGTGAAAACGTTGTGGTGTGTGGTGTATGCTTCTAGTGGTCAAGTAGAACTTGTGGGAAGTTTAAATCACAGAGTAACTCGTAAATCATGGGGGTAATATTGGCCCAGATATCGTATTTCGTTGTATTGTCTCTATTTCTGTAGAATGAGATTATATTGGTGATGAAGCTACAGTTTGTGGACTTTTAAAAATAGTTTTGCCAATAACTCGTGTTTAGTTATGATCAGATGAGATATTACCATCTTTGCTGTTTCTTATTTCTACCCAAGAAAGAGAAAGTATATTTGAGGTAATGCATAATTATTACAAGTTAGATTCTTTCTCTTTCATTTGATATTATCAATGGTGAATGTCGGATGGGAATTGCGCTTGTTTCTAAGGTGATCATTTATTGGATACTAGAGTGGCTTATGCATTTGAAGTTTTTTTTATTCATCGCGAACCTTTGCTTACACTACACTTCCTTGCTACGCCATCACAAGGGTTTGTGATGAAGAGTTGAGAATTGCTATTGAAAACGGTTTCAACATGGTTATATACAACATCATCAAGTTATCAGGGAGTACCATATTTTGAATTAGTACATAAGAAAGACAGAATTGATAAAAGTGTCAATAATGATATTGTTTATAGTGTAGGGATGACTTAACTACATGTATTAGTTTCAAATAATTGTGCAAAAAGGGAAATATTTGCAGTTTGTGGTTCATCTGATTCTTCGGAACCTTTAAACATGGAACCTATAAATAGTAGGGACGAACATCAACAACTTGGTAAAGGAACAGATCTAAATGAGTAGAACTCAACGTCAAGTAAACATCCAACTGATAAAGTTAAAGAGTTTAAAAAGAAAAAAAAAAAAAAACAGAAATCAGGATGATTTGATCGATACTCTGTACATCAGGAAAAGTTAAGTATAATGCCTAAGTTATCAAAGAAACCCAAGTTGTATATTATTTCATGTTTTTCACTATTTGCTGCTTATTTGCAACTGTTTTTTTTTTTCTTTTTTGGTGTTCTTGTGGTATCGTGTAAACGTAGTTAACGCAACAACAACAAAAAAAAAAAAAAGTAATGGTAAAAAAGCGAAAAACAGGATTCTGAGTTCGCTTCTTTTCCTATGTTTTGCATCCTTTTTTTTGTTGTTTTCTTCTTCATCTTTACCTTCTATCATGTTGTCTCTCTTCTTTTAGAGGATCTTTTGTTTTGTTTGATTTAAGGGAGGTTGTCTGGTGTCTAGAAAAGATCTTAAATTGCTTTACTTATGGGTCAAACATCAACATCTTATGTAGAAAACAGAAAGGAAGAGAATGTACATGCAGACGTGTCTAATGAATCCCCTGATCTAAAAACTGAATCCTTAACATTGGAGTCAAATGAAGTGAAATTATCTGTACCCTCTGGCGTTTCTAGTAGAACAATTGGCATTCCTCAGTTATTAGGTTTTGCATCTGGTGAAGAAGTGAATCGAATTTTACCTGATTCTCTTTCTTTAACTATTGCTAATAATGTTCCATCAAGTTGTTGGCCTGTATCTTCTGAGGTACCACAATGGTATTTACTCTACAATAGTTTTCTACATGGTCGTTCATTTCAACAATTGGTTCAGAGATTAGTAGATAAAGGACCAACCATAATTGTAATTAGGTCTTGTGAATCACCAGTGATTTTTGGTGGATTTTGCGGAGATTCATGGTTAACGGTTGCTGCCCGCGAAAAACAAGATAAGAGCCGTTCGGCTGCCTTAAAACGTGCTGCCCGTGAGCATCAGATCCCTCATGGAATAACCAAACGTCCTTCCAATCAAGACCCTGTTTTCTTTGGGAGTGAAAATTGTTTTCTCTTTAGCGATCGTGATGGTGGAAGTATCTACCGCCCCCATCCATTAATTAACTCTAACTTTATGTATCTCTTCGACACCCATCCACTGGAGGAGAAGATAGGGATCGGCATGGGGGGCCGCCCCGGCTGTTTCGGCTGGTTCCTCGACCGCTGGCTCGAGACCGGCGCCTCCCCTCCCACCCGCTGCCCGACCTTCCAGAGCCCCCCATTCACCCCCGGCCCCTCCTGGCGGGTGGACGGCGTCGAGGCCTACGCCCTCCTCCCCGCCACCGTCGACACTCTCCTCCACCGCGCAGGGGGAGAGACGCAGGGGCAGTCCTGCATAAGAAACGAGGAAAATGAGGCAGACAAGATGTTGCTTCAGCTACACGGTCTGCACGCCTTTGACAATCGTGAAAGACCAGATTGCTAGAAGGTGGGGTGTGCGGGAGAAATTGTGGATGGGCCATGGAATGAATGAATGAAAGAAAGGATCTTGGTAAGTAAGTAAGTAAGTAGGGAGAGAATGAACAAGAAAAATTCCACTGTTGGTTTCTCTCAAGATTGTGTTTTTCTTTTTTTCGTGTATTTTTACCTTATTACGGTTTGCTTAAATTGTATGGTTTTCTTTTTTTTTTCTGAATTCTTTATTTGTTTATGTATTTATGTATTCGGTTTTTGTGAAATAATTCATCTATGCTAAACGTTTTACTCTTTCTTTTTTTTTTTTGTTTTCCTTCTATTTGATTACAAATTTCTTTTCATAGGCCGCAAAAAGTGCCATATTACGGATACTGAAAGTTATTGTATAAGTGGCACTCTTGTAAACTTGCCTTTGCTTTGAGGTCGACAGGGAGAAGGGAAAAAAAAAGAGAGAGAGAAGAAAAGGCAATAGAAAGGGAATTCTACTCTTTTTTTTTTAGTTTTTTTTTTTTTTTTTTTTTTTTTTTTTTTTTGGTGGTGGCGTTAAGAGCATTGTGTGCTGCAAATTGTTTTTCTTAATTAAATATATATATATATATTGAGACCTCTTCTAGTAGAAATGACTAACAGTGTCTTAAATGTAATTACCCGTATTTCCTCTCTTTGTAAGGATCGTCATGCATATCTTCGAGATGTCTGCGCATATGCCTATGAAAATATACCAAAAATGGAGCATGATAATGATGTAACTCTAAATCTTCTCTTTTATCCACTTGAAATTGCTAGTAACATCGCAAATGAACAGCAACTCTTCCTTCCCTTGTCATTACAGGGTATACTATTTCTATTGCGGTTACGACGTATCACTGATAAAACCTTGTATGTCCCACCAAATATTCCAATTCCCAAAAGAAAGAAGAGTTTTTTTGGAACTTCTGATGTAACGGTACCTACTGAAGAGAATTCATTAAGTAATGGATCTTCTTCAGACACGAGGAAATTTGTTGATGTTGTACTTGAGACTATAAGGAAACACAGACGTTCTTCAATAGAAGGAGTTGCTCCTTTAGTGCTTCAGTGTCTTGCTGAGTTTATTTATAGCTGTGAATGTGTAGGCAAAGTGAGATTGGTGGATTGTTTTCAAAGTGCTTTTGAAGCCCAATTGGGGATAAAATCTTTACCAGAATTTGGTGATTCAAACACAATGCTTAAAAAGATACTAACTATTATCTTGAAAAAACGCACCAATGCTTTCAATGACATAGCAACCTCTTCTTCTGGTGCGGCTTCTGCTGTTTCCATGACTTCTATTGCTGCTGATCCGTCTTCACGTATTTCTTTTCCAGCCCAAGTTGCAGCCAAGTTAACGGCTAGTATTCCAAACGATTGCCTTGAAGAGAGTTATAATGCCACTCTGGTGAGTATTCCAGAAGACACAGCTCAACTCAGTGTAAATGATGAGGATCTCTTAGTTGGTACGAATTCTCAACCAGAGTGGTTAATGCGTTATGATCTGGATTGTTATGAAATTCTTGTAAGGATTTGTTATCTTTCTACAAGACATTTGGATGATCGAGCCTCTTTAAGATCCATGGGTTTGCGATGTAGAAGATTAAGTTGTACGCTTCTCGCTCATTTTCTTAATGAAATGGATGTAGAGTTTGCATCTAGTACTCTTTTTGAGTCTGCTTTGCATAAAAATATTACTTTGAGTTTACTTTACAATTGTATATCAGAAGATTCGGAATTGTATTGTATCACTCTAGAAACATTATATTACTTGGTAGTCTATCATGCAGCTGTTTTAAAATCTAAAGTGATAGTATTCATACTAGGTATTTTATTACCTATGGTAGAGTCTAAACAGACATCTTATCATCAAAAAAATACTATTTTAACATTTTTTGATTTTGCATTACGTAATCCACAAGTTTTAAGTGATTGGTTTACTAATTTTGATTGTGTTCAGGGAATGACAAACCTTTGTGAAATATTCGTTTCACGATTATCAAAATTAGCTAAAATGTCTCATATTTCATCAATGGTTACGGCTAAACAAGATGAGGCTTTACGTTTTACTTGTATTAAGGTATTATGTACATTTGTACGGTCTATAGAGAGTATTTCAAATGGATTACAGATTTCTGGATATAGTATGAATTCTGAAAAAAGTATGAATGAAAATGAAGTAAAAGAAAAGGAAAAGTATGAATCAGGGAAAACACCACGCCATGATGAACGTGAAGAGGATATGCTAACTCAAATATCTAGTGAATTATTTTTAGCAAAAACAGCACCACTAATAGAAGTAAAATTACATAATGATGATGAAGATGATGATGATGATGATGTGAGAATCACAGAAGAATTAGGAGGAGAAAATAGAGCAGCTGCTAATACTGTTCGATCTTCCTATACAGATATTGAACAATTACTTCGAGGAAAAAAAGCATTTGATGCTGTTGTGAAAGCATTTAATGCAAGAGATCATACGGCTGCTCTCTCAATGGCTGAAAAATCTGATCTTTTGAGTAGTCAATCTCCAGAAGTGGTAGCTCGGTTCCTGCTTCGTGAGGAACTTGATCCTGTAAGTATAGGAGAATTCCTTTGTAAAGAGAATGAGGAACGAAAAAGTATTCTTACGGCTTTTATTGGATTAAATGATTTTACTGGTTTGACCATTGATGAAGCGATGCGACTCTTTTTGGGTAAATTTAAACTTCCTGGTGAGGCTCAAGTTATTGATCGTGTGATGGAAATATTTGCAGAGCAGTATTGTAGACAAAACCCTGAAAATTTCTCTGGTCCAAGTCCAGCATTTATTTTGGCGTTTTCCATCATGATTTTAAACACGGATGCTCACTCTTCTAATATCAAAGATAAAATGACATTGGCACAGTTTATAAGAAACAATAGAGGAATTGATGATGGTCAAGATCTTCCCGTACATTTACTTGAAGGGATTTATCAACGTATTACAACAAAAGAAATTCTTCTTGAACGTCGTGGAATTATTCAATCTTTTCCTTCCATGAAAGGACGTACAAGGAGTAAAAAGAGATTATTTATGTTTTCCGCATCAGGATCCTCACACACAACGAACTCTACCACTACCACTACTTCCACAGCAACAGCAACAGCAACAACACCAACGAAAGCCAATGGTTCTAATACAACTTCCACTATGAATACAACAGCAGCAACTACTCCAACAAAAGCGGCAGAAACAACAATGACTCAAGGAAGAGGTCGATCACTTTCTCGTCAATGTGAAATGGATTACATAATAGAAAGATCTTTGGAAGAAGTTACACGTGATGTATCAAGAGAAGTATATAATTCTTTAACTTCTGCGGCAGTTGCGGGGGCATTACTGGAAAGTACATGGACAGCTCTTTTAGTAGCCTTTTCTCTTCCAATGGAAGAAACGGAAAATATGGATCTTATTGATACTTGTCTGGAAGGAATTGAATATGCTATAAAAATTAGTTGTAGATTTTCTTCTCGTACGGAGCGAAAAGCTTTTATGTCTGCCTTGTTAGCTTTTACACACCTTACAAATTTACGAGAAATTGAATATAAAAGTCTTAAATCTATTGTTGTTCTTATTCGTATAGCCTTGGAAGAAGGTGATTATCTTGAAAGCTCATGGTATGAGATTCTTCACTGTATTTCGCTCTTGGCAAAACTGCAGATATTGGCAGAATCATCACCAGCATTACCATCCCCTTCAAGAGGAGGAACTAACTCAATGGGAAATGATACAAGTATGGGAGATGATAGTAGTACCCAATCATCTAATGGAACAAAGAAGGAACGAGTTAAATTGGAACGACAAAATGCTGGAACTATTGCAAAGTATATTGATGAAGTGGAAGTTCATCGTCTTTTCTCTCACAGTAGTCATTTAAAAAATGAATCTGTAGTAAATTTTGTTGAAGCACTTTGTTTAGTAAGTGCAGAGGAACTTAGTGAAAATCCTCCACGATTATTTTCATTACAGAAACTTGTAGAAGTAACAGATGCGAATATAGGTAGATTACGTTATGTATGGTCAAAGATGTGGGCTAATGTTTCTCGTCATTTTATTACAGTTGGTTTGGGATCTAATCAACTTGTTTCTATGTTTGTAGTAGATCATTTACGGCAATTAGCAAGGAAATTTTTATTACGTAAAGAACTTGGAAATTTTAATTTTCAAAAAGATGTATTACGACCTTTTGAAGTAATTGCATTTCGCACAAATTCATCTGCGTTAAAGGAACTTATTATTGCTTCTTTAGGTCAAATGGTGGATTTACAACCAGAAAGTCTTGGTAGTGGTTGGAAACCATTATTAACAGCACTTGGATATTGTGTGCGTAATGAAGATAATGAAGAAGTTATTTGGCATTCTGCCATTGTTCTTCAATGTATTACACTTCATCATATGCGTTTACTTAATCCTCATGATTTGTATTGTTTACTTATGGCTTGGAAAGATATTGGATGTTCTCATTCTAGTGAAGGTATTTGTCAAGTAGCTGTTTGGTTTATTCGTTTTATACCAATTGTTTTAATTGCCTGTGATGTTATTCAAAATGTAGAAATGGATGATGTGAATATAATTCTTGAGAAATTACCCTATCAGAGTATGTCGTCAACAACAAGAACCTCTACTACTACTACTACTACTACTACTACTACTACTACTACTACTACTACTACTACTACTACTATAGATTCAATTATTGAAAACTTCAAAGCACGAGGAAATGGTATGCTAAAAAAGGGAAATGATAGTTTACTTTCACTAGAGGTGATAAAGTATATGACTTTTTGTTTTACTTCTTCATTTCAACAGAATGAAGTAGAGAAGTTTAAAATAAAACAAAATACAATTTCTTTTTCTTCTCTTGCTGTAAGTGTATTGGCATCATTAGTAATGAATGACCGTGTAAGTAGTGATGCTATTAATGCCATGATGATTCTTATGTCTAATTTACATGATATATTAACAATAGATTCATGGTGGTATATATTTAGTTCCACAGTTCCATCTACATTTACTTATTTACTGGAACAAAGTCAATTGTATAGTGATAAACCAGAGAAACGATTATCTCTAATAAAACAAACTGTAATGGGTATTGTGCGATTCTCTCAATATAATTATTCTACACCGTCATTAACAGTAGATCATGCCATTTTTTTACTTCGAATTCTTTTTGGTGGTATATGTATTGATGGAAATGATGCTGCAGTGGAGATTGGATTTCATGGTGCTCGTCAGATACTACACAATTTTGAAAAATACACAGGAATAAAGAATAATAATGAAAATCTCTGGAATGATATTGTAAAGTATATTCAAGAAGTAGGGAATGAACTAAAGTGGAAATTGGAATCTACATGGTGTTATTCTTTATCCCCTACTCGTGTAGAGGAAGCGGTATCTATTACATTGGCATTATTACATTATGTGAAGTCTCTTCGAGATGTGGCGTTAATGGAAGGTTTAACCATTTCATCTCGTACAGAGATTGTAAAGGTGTTATTAGATATTTTACGTGCAGTGATGTTACTTCTTCGTAGTTCCTTCTCTACTCTTATTTGTAAATCAGAAGAAACACATTCTTATTCTTTGGCGTTATTCATTGCACTAGAACGATCTGTTTGTAATATACTCATGACAGTGGATGAACAATATAATACGTTTATGAAAGATCATGTACATATCTTTTGGTCACTTATAGTGGAACAATTAGCCTTTCTCTCACCAACAACATCAAATGCCCATTTAGAAGAGGCGGAGAGTTTACGAGAACTTGTTGGACTCATTTTAGATACACTACATCAATTACCCGTGAGTTTAATGATTCCACGTGTGAAGGCGAGTATGCCATTGTTTTGTCAACTTATTACAATAAATGATAAGAGATTTGCCGCTTCTCTTGGAAGTCTATTTTTGAAATATCACACGGCTTCTGCGGAGATGTCTTGAAGAATGAGTCTTCTTTTTTTCTTATTTTTCTTATTTTTATTTTTCTTTTTTCTTATTTTTATCAATGATCGTGGCTAATAAACAAAATAAGTGGCTGCCGTTTTTTTTTTTTTTTTCTGTGGAGTAAATGGGATGGACCCTTCTTTTTACTCTCTGAAGATAACAACACAAGAGAAGATATATAGATAGAGAGAGAAAGGGGAAAAAAAATAATAAAAAAAAATGTGAATCAAACAATGTTTATAAAGAATAATATTGCCTCTCTTTTACAGTGTCTAAATGTATTCTAGTCTATCAGACTCTTTCTTTATTTTGTTTATGTATTGGTTTGTTTTTCCACCTATCTTTATAACAACGGCAAGAAAACAAGAAAGAAATAAATAAAATAAAAAAAGAAAAAAAGAAAAAGTCCCTATTCTCTTTTTACCTGTTTTTTTTTCCCCCTTTTTTTCTTCTTCTTCTCATTCTTCTTATTTAAGTAACAATAATAGTTTTCATAAGAATCATTACACCATTTCATTCATTCTCTCTTTTTGTTTTTTTTTTTTCTTTTTCCTTTGAAAACGATATGGCTAAGAGTACACGGTTTACCAAAATTCTTTTGGTACTCTTGTTAATATGCTTTACAATGGCGATGATTCCACTCCTCAGCTTGGGGTTTATAAAAAGTAAATCCCCATCCACCATGCCATCTTTATTTTCAACCTCATCTATGCAAACATTACCGGGAGATGTCAATATTAGAAATGAAGAAAACAACTCTGGTTTAAAAAAGATACCACATTCAAATAAAGTAAAGGAAGATCCTGATGGACTACATAATAGTGTGGAAGATATGGATAGGAATAATAATAATAATAATAATAATAATGGGAATGAGGAGAATGCTGATGAAACACTAATTCCCTTAACGGATATTCCAAAATCTCCTTATTATTCCTTTGACCCACATATTATGTCTCCTTCCTTTTTACGAAACTTACAAAACAGTTCTAAACGAATTATTAAGAAATGGACTCGTGCCCATTTTGACCGCTATGACTCTGCTGACATCTCAGACTGTGATATCATAACCCCTGAGTGTTCTTTACACAAATATCTACTTAAATATACAGCGGAGGAAAACGAAAAAGAAAGTGAAGAAGAAAAAGAAGAAGTGGAAGATCCAAACCGCTTACCGTATAGAAAGTGTTGTGTAGAGCATAAGGCTTTACGAGATACAACTATATGGGTTGTAAATCAATTAAAGGCAGCGGGAATTATTTATTTTCTCTCAACAGGAACTGCACTGGGGGCATTACGGCATGCGGGAGTTATTATTCCGTGGGATACGGATGTGGATATCGCCATTTACCCAAAAGACCGTGTGAAGGTGGAGAAAATATTTCGTGGGAATAAAAAACATTTCTTTCGAAAGGATCCTCATGGGAAACCTATGTTTTGGGTTTATCATTCTAAAGATGGTTATCCAGTGGGTGGACCACATGTGGAAATCTTTTACGATCCTGTTTATACACAATTTCCACATTTATTACTTCCACTTCAGGAATGTTTATTTTATAATGAATCCATGATGTGCCCAAATGTAAAACAGTTTGAAGAATGGTTTCCAAGTGGATGGAAAGTTTACGGTGGTGGGCATTATAATGGTCCAAAGAGTTGTACGGTTCGTCTAAATGGGAAAACAATAGCGAAAAGGCGATGTTGATGAGGATAGGTATACCATGGTCTCTCTCTCTCTCTCTCTCTCTNTCTCTATATATATATATATATATATATATATATATATATTTTCTCTTCCCCTTGCTTGCTCTCATTCTCTCTCTCACTCACTCACTCATTCACCCTAGATGGATGGATAGATAGATAAATAAGATTGGAGAAAGAGTTAAATGATTCAGATATATTTTTAAATTGGGATAGTCATTGGTAGTTTAAACTTTTAATTGCATTTGATCTCAAGTATATCTCTTCTTTGGGGTTAGAGAGTCTGGGGAATGGGAGTTGGGCGGACCCATTTTCTTTTTTTTCTTTTTTTCTTTCTTCTCATTACTGTTTTTTATTATTGCTTTACTTTCATTCGGAGTTGTTACTGATTTTATGTTTCGTTCTCTTTTTTTTTTTGTTTTCTCTCTCCCTGTATGAGTATGAGTGAGAGTGAGAGAGAAAGTGAAGAGTGCGATTGTGTCAGAGTGCGTTCTTATTGTTGTTGTTGTTGGACGCACATTACAGAGAAACGAAGAAAAAAAACAAAAAAACAAAGAAAGATTAACAAGATAATACTTTGCAGTGATGAAAAATGATAATATTGATTGAGGGTCCTTTTCATTATTTTCTTTTTTCTTTTCTTTTTTGGTTCTTCTTAGGTAAAAGTAAAAGAAAAAAAAATACCCCGAAAAAGCGAGAGGAGTGTGGCTACATCTGCAACTGGTGCTCATTGAAGAACAACAAACAATAACTACTCTGGAAAAGCCACGTGACAAAGAAGAGAAAAAGAAAGAAAAAAAGTATTTCTCTTAAATTTCCATTATACTTATATAGTTATTTATAATAATTATTTGTACGTAACTCATATACATACATACATACAATTTTTATTGTAATATAAAATATTATTACAATGAGCGATACTCCAGTGGATTGTGCAGATGTCTATCGCATGGATTTCACATATTCTTTTATGGCTGGAATTGATCCACTTCGTCCACCTGTTTCTATTGAAATTCCAACGAAAGATCTTGATGCCATGGGAGGTATGGAACGTCAATATTGGGAAATTAAATCCAAGTACTTTGATGTACTTATACTCTTTAAAAAGGGTAAATTCTATGAATTGTATGATATGGACGCTGCCATTGCCCATCGTGAGTTTGGATTAAAACTCGTATTTGATAGCAGTAACAGAGGTAAAATGCGTCTTGCCGGTATTCCTGAACAGAGTTTCAGTGATTGGGCCCGTCTTTTCGTATTTCGTGGATATAAAGTAGGTCGTGTAGAGCAAATGAAGGAAGAGGAAAATTCTCCTCTTAATATGAATAAGAGTGCTCGTCCAAAGGTTGTGCCTCGTCAGTTAGTAGAGGTATTAACACCTGGTACATTAACAGATCCAGTTATGTTAAGTGGATATGGTACTGTATTTATTTTATCCCTTTATCCTATGCAAAATAATAGGGTAGATGGAGTCGCAGTGGATCTCTCACGTCGAGTGGCTTATCACTGTCCATGTATTTCAGAAGAGAAGAGTATGAAACGTGAAGAAGATGTATTATTAATGATTTCCGCACTTTTACAACAATTACGTCCTCGAGAAATTATATTTCCACGAAATCTTGTAAATACTACAGTAAATACAAATAATAATAATAATAATAATAATAATAATAATAATAATAATAATAGTGATACTACATTTGGTAAGAGATTGGTAGATTGGATGGAAGGAGAAGGTTACCGGGTAGAGTTAGTAGATGTACCTAAAGAATATATTTCTCAAAATTATTCTACGGAAACAAATTCTACATCTGCTGCTCAATTTTTGGCGTATTATTTCAAATTGCTAAAACTTCAAAATGCAGAATCTATACTTTCAGAGGCAGAATCCTATACATTTCACCTTTCTCATCAACAATCCGTATTATCTACTACTACTACTACTACTACTACTACTACTACTACTATTTCTAATAAACCTTGCAATATTCCTAATTCATCTTCTTCATTGCTTTGGTTTGAACGTCGAGAAGACCGTGGGCTTATTCTTGATGCTACAACGGTGAGCAATCTCGAAGTTATCAGTAATTTGCGAGATGGTGGTGAACGTGGATCTTTAAATCATCTTCTTAATAGATGTTGCACGAATGGTGGAAGACGTCTTTTTCGATCATGGATTCTTCGTCCTTCTGCATCTTCACGCGTTATTTTAGCCCGACAAGAGGCTATTCGATTTATTATTGATCATAGATTAAATGAGACATGGATTGAAGGGGAAGAATTGGAAGAAGGAGGAGCAGTTTCAGCAGGAAGTGGAGTAACAACAACAACAACAATAACAACTACAACTACACCTCCACCAGCAGCAGGAGAAACAGCATTATCTCCTTCCATATTATCTACAAATGCAGCCAATTGTAGAGATGAGGAATCCCCATGTGGTGTAAAACGAGAAAGATCATCCAATAATACATTTGAAGTACGTTTTGGTAGTCTTGTTGGTGTAGACTTTGAACGTAATCTTTCTCGTTTAGTGGATATCAAAAATAATGATAATGCACAGGTAGCATTTGTAGATCCCCTTTTACAGTATAAAAAACATCTCAATCTTATTTTAACCACTGTTCAAGCTTTTTCAGAGATGGTAGATTGGTCTCATTGTATTCAAAAGATGGCACCAACATCTTTAGTACCACCTTTATTAAAGGAACTTTGGGCAGAAATAGATGCTGCAGCACCTGCTGTTTCTTGTATTGAAAAACATTTTGATCTTCAGGATGCACTTCAATCTGGTGTGATTGTTCCATCACGTGGGAGTTCTTCTACATATGATATGGCATCTGATCGTTTAGACTCTATTAAAAAACAACTTGAGGAAGAACTTTATCGTATACAAAAAGAATATTTTGGTGGTGCTAATATTAATTATTGTGATATTGGTCATGATCGGTTTCTTATTGAGGTACCACTTCGAGATGTACCAAAGATTACCCCAAATGGATTTCATGAACGTTCTAGAACGGCTAAAACGGTAAGGTTTGTTGTACAATCTCTTGAATCTCTTATAGAAGAACATAAAAAGGCAAAAACTGAAAAATCAAATGCGCTTCTTAATGTTTTGTGTAGTGTAGCATCCCATATTTGTAATTACTTCCCTATATTACATGGTGCTACCATGGCACTTTCTTACTTTGATTGTCTTTTGAGTTTAGCATCATTACAACGTCGTGCACTTACAACTTCTTGGCCTAAAGTAACAGATGATATGAATGGATCATATGTAGTGGCTGAACAACTCACACATCCTTTTCTTAATACCAACTCTGTACCAAATACAGTTCATCTGGATGCAACTCATGGACGTATTTTACTCTTAACAGGACCTAATATGGCAGGTAAAAGTACCTTAATGCGTACAATAGCTGTAAATGTGATGATAGCCCAAATGGGTGGTCCTATATTTGGTGAAAATATGTCTTTTGTACCTATAACTCGTATATTTACTCGAATTGGTGCTCGTGATGCTTCTCATAAAGGACAGAGTACTTTATATGTAGAGTTAAGTGAAACTGCTGATATATTAAGATATGCAGATCCATGGAGTCTTTGTTTAGTGGATGAACTAGGACGGGGAACATCCACACATGATGGATATGCTATTGCCTACGCCACACTTACTTCGCTGAAAAAACGACAACCAGCTTCACCACTTGTGCTTTTCTCTACACATTATCATGGTTTAGCAAAAGAACAAATGGAAAGTAAAACCAGTGAAAAGGTATCCACATCATCATTATTAGTGTCTAAAAATGAACTCGTACAATTGGGATACATGGATTTTGCTTTAGCTAACACTGAAGATGATGGGGTTCCAGCGATTACATTCCTATACCGTCTCGTTCCAGGTATATGCACTCGCAGTTATGGTGTTGAAGTGGCTTTACTGGCTGGAATTCCCCCTGCCCTTGTGAATATGGCTAGTTCGAAATCACTTGAGCTTGCAAAACTGAATGATCGACATAAAGAGCTTGATATTATTCGAGGGTTTATTACACAAGATGAAAATCGTGTAAAAATAAAACAAGAAATACAATAGTTGAAATCATGACAGGAATAAAATCCCACAAAAAAAGAAAACATCATGATTTTTTTTTTTTTTGGATTTCTCTTGTCAACCCATAGAAAATAAAATAAAAAAATAAAAAAGAATCTTTGCATGATTATTGCAACTAATAGAGCCATAAAGTTAGTGTTAAAAAAAAAAAAGAGCAGAATATGAATATGATTAAACAAGTGATATGAGGTGATACTTGAATAGAAACAACTTGCAAAGACTTATACAAGTCACTCTTTGATACCCTAAACTTAGCGAAAAATAAAAGTATATTATCAAGAGTGTAGCTCTATAATTTTATTATTATTCTCTTACTTTTTATTGGGTCGGAACAAGCATTAATTCAACCATTTCTACTAAGTAGTAGTAATTAAAAACCCATTCTTTTTCTTTTTTTTTTAATTTTGATGATGAACAGTTCGGTAATATAAGCATTCATCAACATTTCTTAACGCGTGTGCTCTTCCTTGTTCCCTTGACCAGTGGTTTCTCGTCTTGATTCTTACGCACACTTTTTTTTTTTATATCTTCTCTTCTCTTTTTCTTTTTCTTTTTGTTTTGTTGTTTGTGGTGGTACACATAGTCATTTGTTTTCTTACGCTAATATTCGTTCACGTGCAACACATAAAATGTTTCGCTCTGTTTCCCGTTTCGCTGGCAAGGACATCCGTTTCGGCACGGAGGCCCGCCAGGCGATGCAGCGCGGTGTGCAACGTGCTGTTGACGCCGTTGCCACGACCCTCGGCCCCAAGGGCCGCAATGTGATCATTGAGCAGTCGTACGGTGCACCAAAGATCACAAAGGATGGTGTGACGGTTGCGAAGGCAATTGAGTTCAAGGACCCGTTTGAGAACATGGGTGCACAGCTCGTTCGACAGGTGTGTAACAAGACCAACGATCTTGCTGGTGACGGTACGACGACCTCTGCTGTACTTGTGTCGAGCATCTTCAGTGAGGGCCTCAAGTGCATCGCCACTGGCACGAACCCGATTGACATGAAGCGTGGTATGGACCGTGCGGTGGAAGTGATCCTGAAGAGCATTGCAGAGCAGAGCCGCAAGGTGACGAGCACAGAAAACATTGTGCAGGTTGCCACGATCTCGGCCAACGGTGACAACGAGCTGGGCAAGCTGATTGGACAGGCCATGGAGA